GGAACCCTAATTGGTGACAGGGGAAAAGTGACTAAGTATTGTATGAATTGACAGACATGTGGGCTGAAACCTCAATTTCCTTTTTAATCTGATGTTCTCCTGTGACAGGTGGTCCCCAGGAAAAGAGGAGGTTCCAGGTTCCCTGCCCCCCCCAGAAGGAGGGTGGAGTCTGAAAAGCAGAGAAGAGAGGAGTCTGAAGAAGAAGGAAGCAGGATGGAGAGCCAGAAGGAGACCTGAAGAAGCCACATGGAGCAGGGAGCATGTGATGAAGAATCCGTGCTTGTTTCTTGGCCCTGGACTGGTTAAAACAGATGTAGGTAAGAGAACCGTGGAGAAGTTGACTATGGCAGCTTTTATCTTAATTTTGATTGTGCTCTTTTCCTCCCAGGCTTGTCTGGCCATGTCTGACCCTTTTCTATGGGTCCCAGCCAGAAGGTGCTTTAGTCTTGTGGCAGGCTTTTAGGCCTTGCTTGGGCCAATGACTTTGGGGTAAACTTTTACCCACAAGGGGATGGGAAACTTCAGGTGTTTGATTTAGAAACTATATTCTTTGTCTTCTATATTATATACTCATTGTATTAAAGCTTTTTTCCATTAAAGCTCTTATGACTTTTATTGATGCAGAGGATTATAGAATCTACTTAAGGCAGGCAGGTTTAGGGGTTCAGTGGTGCCTCTCTCCCTGTCCTGTAACACTCCAACTCCAACCTCTAGAGTCTCTCTTCCTAATAAATATCCACCCTATAAACACCACCTTGTTTCCCCACCTACACTTACCCAGGCTCCTCTTGGTTTTCCACTATTTTCTTTACTATCTTCATCATCCCAGTGGGAAGAAGTGTCCAATGCTCTTGTCTGTACCACAATAGTCTTAAATGCTCCCTGGGGTTATAGAAAAGTCAAAATGCTCCCTTGACTCCTAAAACAATACCTTATAACCCCATGATAGGCACTAGTTTTATGAATTGAAGACCCAAGGGAAAGAGAGTATGGTAGAATTTCAACTGAAATACTTATGTAGGTATGAGACCCACGTTTAGGGAGCAGAGGGTAACCTCTTTAATCTGTGGCTTTCTTCTAGAGGAGGGCTTAGAAGGCCATACCATCCCACTGCTTCCCTCTAAGACTGCATTATATGGCCCTCCCTGGTGGTGCAGCAGGTTAAAGCACAGCTCTAAGAAGCTAAAGCCACTTCCGCATGAGTTCGACCCCCACCCCAGAAGTGACCCACATGGTATGGCAGACCTCTCTTGACCCACCCACTGCTCCCCTCAGCAGTGTACTTTTGTCAATCTGCCTGTTCTGCTCCCCACTGTCTCTGGTGATTCCTCTCACTGCCTCTGCACCTCTGACCTGTACCCCAGTTCTGTATGCAAAAAATAAATAAATCTTAAAAAAAAAAAAAAGGACGCATTATAGGGGTTCTCACTGGTGGCCTGGTATTAAATCTCATCACTGTCATCATCATGGCCCACCTCAATGGCCTAAGTTTGCTACTCTGCCAGGGAGCTGACCCACAAAGATGCAGCAGACCTCTTCTGTTTCAACTGCTGCTCCCCTCAGCAGTGTATTCCAGTAGATCTGCCTGTTCTGCTCCCTACTCTGTCTCTGGTGAATCCTCTGACCATGGTCCCCACACACACCTCTTGCCTGCACCCCAGTCCTTCATGCAAAATAAATAAAATATTTTTTAAATATCTAAAATAGACCACATTGTAGGTGAGATTGTTATAGTGTTATAGGACACCCCAATTCTGTTAGAAGACAAGGGAGAGAGGGAAACCCCTGAACCCCAAAATCCTGCCTGCTCTAAGTGGGTTCTGCCATCCGCCGCAAGAAGACAAAACATATATAAAACTTTAATGAAAAGGGACTTTAATACAGTGAATATACAATACGGAACACAAAGAATAGAACTTCTAAATCAAACACCTGAAGTGACCCATCCCCTCGTGGGCAAAAGTCAACCCAAAAGGGATTGGCCCAAATCAAGGCCTGAAAGCTGCCACAAGACTAAAGCACCTTCTGGCTGGGACCCATGGCAAAGGGTCAGAAATGGCCAGACAAATCTGGGAGAAAAGGAGCAAAATCAGAATCAATATAAACACTGCCATAGTCACCTCCCTACAGGTATCTCACCCACATCTGCCTTAACCAGTTCAGGGTCAGGAAACAAGCCCGGTTTCTTCATCACATGCTTGCTGCTCCAAGTGGCTTCCTCAGGTCTCCTCCTTGTTCTCCACCCAGCTTCATTCTCTTCTTCTCTCCTTTTTCTCTGCTCAGCTCCACTCTCCTTCTGGGTGGGGCAGGGAACCTGGAACTTCCCTTTTTCCTAGGGACCACCCAGTTACAAGATCTTTTCGTTGCCTTCTTCCTAACCCCTTCAACTAGCTCCCTTCCCCTCCCACCTGGCCTCCTGCTTGAAATTGTGTAATAGGAAGTTCTCAGTTGGACTCCCACAGGAGGGGAGAGGTGATTGGGAGGCAAAAACAACGCAGCACTACAGGTTGGGGTGGGGGTGGTAACAACTCTTTCTGTCCTTCAGACCAGGAATTCCCAGGGGCAGGGCCTCCTCTTCTGTCTTTTCCTATTCCTCTTCTACTCCAACCCCAGCCAAACACAGGGTCTGACTCCAAAAGCCAAGAATTCTCCCTTCTTTCAGCATGCAGCAAAGGTCCTTGGGCATGAGGAAGTAAATAGCTAACCTTGAGATAAAAACCAGATTGTTCCCTGAGACCTGGGGTATTTTCCAGAGGAGGGAGGTGTCAGCAGAAGCCCCACTGAGTCAGACAATGACAGGAAAGGAAATCATCCAGTTGCCATTGCAGTTTTCTTCAAGGGTAGGTCCCAGCAGGCCTCCCCTTGTAAGGATGGGCTGTGCAGTTGTTCCAAGAACGGAAGATAATGTTTCTCAAATGGTTTTCAAAATACACGCATAAAGATGTGCATGTGTGAGCAAAACAGAAACAGAGGTATGAGAAGGATTCATTCAGCTCTTAGAGGACTTGAATACCAGAGCTTTGTTTTTTCTTTTTCCCTAAGTGACATGATTGAATTGCAGAAAGATTTCCTTGCTGTTAAGTGGATTGTATGGAAAGGTCCAAGAATGGAAAGAGTTAGGCCACTGCAGTGCTTCAGACTATAATTGATAAAATCTGATGTGGGATAAAGGACAGGGAATGAAAGGGTCAACACTGGCCTTGGACATGAGCAGAAGAGAAGGGACCAGAATGCTCAGTGAGGTATGCGGCTAGAAGATTTGCTTTGGAGCCAGGCCTGCAGGGTTAGAGATACTTTAGCCAAATCTGGGGGAATGAGGGCAAAACATCTCCCAGGAAACTCACATTTGGGCTTTGAGGATGACTTGATCAGGGTGTAGCTGATATGGTACCAGGAAGGAAACTGAGGCAGATTCTCATGGGGTATTAGCCTCCAGTCCCAGATTTCCTGCAATGGGCAACTAATCCCCATTACCTCTGAGGAAGAGAGTTCCACATTCATGCATACCAGTCCCCTATTACTAGCTTAATGGCAAAAGGGAGAGAGATGGGGAATTCTGGCTATGACAAAGCTTCCAGAAGCTCTAACTTGGAATGTACAAGAGATGCTGACAGAGATGGAGGTTTGGGCAAGATTGGAAGGGGCAGAGCTACCTAGGGGGTTAGGGGTGGAGGTGGCTCCCAGTCCAGTTCCTCCCCTCCCCCTCACTTCAAGACCCAGTTCTTTCTCATGGTTTCTGCCCTTTCAGTTTTGACAGCCAACTTCTTGAACTTCTCCTTTTGGTATCAATGAAAAGGGGAGGCACTTTTTGGCCAGGTGGGCGATAGCTTTGGAAACACATTTCAGCTGTCTCCCCATCTCTGGAGGGACACAGGCCTGGGTTAAGCCATGTTATTGAAAGGTAGGTGAATGTTGAGTCAGAGTGTGGGTCTCTGGATGCAGAATACTAGCTTCTAGCCCAGTCTTGGTTACTTACTTTAGGTCAACGCCTTTCTCTCTCAGTGCTTCAGTTTGTTTAGCTATGCTTTGTGATTCATGGGATCAATCACAGAAGCCAAACTAGGATCCCAATTACAAGCCACGGTCCAGTTCCTGGAATTTGGCCAGACAAGGGCAATCTTCCCTTTGACTTTGCTTGGTGTGCCCCCTTCCCTCTCTAAACTGTAAGATGCTGCTGCCTGCCCTCAGTACCCTTCTATACGCTCCAGCTCCTCCAAGTCAGAATGCTTAGGCCTCATGGGTTACTTTACCCTTCCCATGCCATCTCCAACAACACATACTTCTTGGCTTGGCCGGTTCAGCAGAACTGTCTGCAACTCTGAAAATATTCTATAATATCTGTGCTGCCCAATTTGTTAGCCATTAGTCACACATGGCTTTTGAACACTTGAAATGTGTTTAGTGTGCCTGAAAAAGTATATTTAAATTTTTAACCTTAAAAATTAGATTTATGAAGCCACATGGGGCTAGTGGATACCAATTTGGACAACAAAGGTTGTAGGTAGAACTGTTCATGTTGCTCATTTACAATGAGTTGAAAAGGAATTACTGCTTATTGAGACTTTACTCTTTGCCAGTTTTTGCGTAAGTGCTTTCCAAACGCATCTCAACGAAGCCTGGAAATCCCATTTTAAAGATGAAAATCCAAGGCTCCCAAGGTTAGGTACACTGGCTACAGGTGGCCTAGAGTGGGAGGGCCATTCATGGGTGAGGCAGGCTCTCCAGTCACTTGAAGGACTGGCCAGTGGCCAGCCTGTGTGTCTTTTTTCTGTAATCACTCTATAGCACATGCTAGGATACCAGGGCCTGAGTAAGTTCATCAGTGAGTACTGCTGGGGAGATGCTTGTGACAAAAAGAGGAAAGCTAATTCCATTTATTCCCTATCACCTAGGGACCCAGAAACCCTGGCTCCAGACATCACACCTTCAGCTCTTTCTCCTCTCGCCTTTCTCCTGGATCTCTGTGTCCTTTGGGTCACAAACCCTGAGTTCAACTGGATGCTGTGTGCAGAGGTTTGGGGAGAGGGTGTCACAGACAAGCCCAGAGGAAGACAGTTGAGTTGGGAGCTAGGGCCTGAAAAAAATACTTAATGTCTTAAGAAAGAAAACAAGAAATAGTGTTATAATAGCTATCTTTTATTGAGCAGCTACTTGTGCCAGGCACTTTACTACTTCTGTGCTTATAATTTCCACAACAACCTGGGAGGTAGGCACAATTATCACCATTTTACATATGAGGAAATGGTGGCTCAAGCAGCTTGCTCAGGGTCACACACTTGTAGATAAGTGGCAGAATCAGCACTCAAGCTGGCAAATGTGAGTGAATGTGAGTGCCCCAAAACTTTCATTAGGCATTTCTTCAATTGAGTCTTCTATTTGATTGATCAAATAGAGGGGGTGGAGGGGTTGGCAAAGGGCTGCATTCAGTAGAGGCTCAGGGGACCAGGTTCTGCTGTCTCAACTACTGAGGGAAGGTGAACCCTGCCCTGTTTCCCACCTCCTTACTCTGGTGAGTTCTTTTCTCCAGACACAGCTGCAAAGTCAGTAAAAATGAAGCTGGCTGAGGTTGCTCTTCTTAGGAAAGGAAAATGGCTAAAATAAAAGACCTTACCTTTTGTGTGTGTACACAGGTATTAATGTGTGTGTTTCATGTGCTGAAGCATGCCACCAGCAGAGCCAGAATGCAATTCCCTTTTAGACCACATCCTGCCATTTGTGTAGGGAGTGAGGCAGCTGAGGAACCTTGAAAGGGCTGTTTATTTTCTACTAAAGTCACCTAAGAGGGGGCTAGCTCAACAATCAAAACCTAAAAAAAACTAAACAAAACCCCAACCTCTAGTTTATCTGACCTCAGAGGTGTTTGTGTTTATTCCATAGATCCAGAGACACATGGTAACACTCCTCACATGCACAACACACACACACACATGTGGGCATACATACCTGGTGCGCATGCACACACACACACACACACACACACAGGTTCTTGAGTTAAGGCACCGAGTCTAGCCAGCATGACCTTCCAAGTCATCGCCCATGAGGCTGGGGGTAGCCAGTGTGTGTACCCAGAGGGTCAGAGTAGTGCTAGGAGTCTCTTCACAAATGTGGGACGTGAAGCATGACTTCTCACTGAGCCCAGTCTTCCTTTTCTCTGGACCTCTGTGTCCTTGTCAGTTAGATAAACACCCCCATCCCTTCTTACCAAATGGGGTGGGACCAGGACAGGAGCAGTTCAAGCCAGTTCAGGGCTCAGCTTCCAACACAAAAAATGTGACCTCTCTAAGTGTAGCAGGGGGCTATTTTGGGACAAAATGGCCATTGAAGCCAGAATGGAGGGTGAGGTTTCTCTGTGTGCTTCTAAAACCCAACCATATGTTGCAGGAAGACAGTTGACCTTTCTCTCCGTACCCTACCTCTACTCCCCTCCCCTCCCCAGCTCTCTCACCACATCCCAAGGAAGAGGTTTCAGTAATTTGAGTGAGTATAGAGAGAATGTTGAGCTGTTTGAATCGTGCACTGGAGTGGAAGGTTGCATCAATGCCCCCTCCCCTGATTAGAGCACATTTAGTTCAGCATCCACATTGTGAGTAGGCAGAGTCTAGGGGTGCATGGTGTGGTTGTGATGGAGGATTAAAGGCCTGCATGAAGATTGGGTGGAGGACAGTGGGAGTCCTGGATCCTGGGCTGGGTCAGGATGCCCAAATGAAGTAGGCTACCTCGTCCAGATCCACAGGGTAATCTGTGAGCAGCACCGGAGTCTTGTCAAAAAGTTCGCCTTTGTAACTGCGCCACTTGCCTGCCGGCAGGTAGACATCCCGCTCCTGTTTGCCCGGCTCCAGTACTGGCGCCACCAGCAGCGTGTCCCCTATGAGGAACTGTGAGTCGATGCGGTGCGCCGTTTCGTCGCCTGGTGCTATCCACCAGAGGGGGCGCACGATGGGGTCGCCTGTGTCGGTGACCTCACCCGCCAGCTCCAGCAACAGCGGCGCCACTAGCGAGGCCCTCAGCGCAGCGAATTTGTGTGCAATGGCCACTACCTCGGCATCGTATTGCCAGGGCGGGACCGAGAACTGCAGAGCAGGCATGAAGGCGGCCACCTCCAGCCAGCGCACGTAGAGCTCGCGCTCAGGAACTTTGTCGCCGCCCGCTGTGCGCTCGGGCACGGCATTGCCACCCACCATATCTGGCAAGATGAATGGATAACCCAGCATGCTAACGGTGAGCACAGCAGGGATGAGAGAGCGCAGGCCAAGATCGTAGCCCCACACTGAGTCGCGGTCCACCAGGCGAAAGAAGCACGAGATGTTCTGTGACTGGTAACCCACGCGGACCTCGGCCAGTGAGAAGAAGGGCAGTGCCATCTCAGTATAGCGCCGGCTCCACACGCTGGGGTCGGTCAGCGGTCTGTAGGTGCTGAAGTCCCGCGGCAAATAGCTGACTTCACCGGCGTCGAATTTGAAGGAGGCCACCGCATAGCGTGAGCGCAGCCGCCGCAGATGTCCCTGGAACCAGTCACGGGCCTCTGGGCGCGTGAAGTCCAGCACTGCGCCGATCCCATTCCACCAGCGCACCAGCGCCGGCAGCCGGCCGGTCGGTTCCCGCACAAACAGCTCCCCTTCCACACCCTCGCCAAAGCTGGAGGAATTGTAGTTGACAAACGGGTGCACCCAGAGCGTGACACTAAAGCCGGCGTCACGCAGGCGGTTGAACATATCGCTGGCATTGGGGAACTTAACCTGGTCGAAGTCGAAGTCTCCATAGGCAGGTGTGTACATGTCATCGATTTCAAGGTGGCTGCTGTTGAAGTGGTGCTGGCGAATCTGCTGGGCGAAACGCAGCACCTTGTCCTGGTCCACGGCGCGTCCGTATAGTACCCAGGTGGACCAGATTGGGTCCCGGAAGGTCTCGGGGGCTGGCACTCTCGACGGCTTGTTGAAATAACGCCTCACCATGTACTTGTGGATGGAGGTCACGTCAGAGCCGACACACACACGGTAGCTGAGCTCTGGCACGGCCATGTGGCCTTCGGGTGGTTTGTAGGGAGTGTTGTGGTAGCGTGCCTGCAACCGAAGCGAGCGCTCCGTGCTGTTCCAGCCGAGGTGGAAGGGCACTGAGGCGTTGATCTTGATGGCAGCTGCACGAGAGGACAGCCAGTAACGCTCTAGGATGCCTCCGAAAGCACTGTCAGAGGAATAGACATCGCTGGTGACAAAGGGCTGCGGCTCCTGCTGGCCTTCCAGACGGATGGGCCAGTGCTGCGTCCGCATCTCAGCGCCGCCGTACCAGTGGGCCGTGGCGTCACCCAGGAACATGGCGTGCTCCACCGCTCGCCCAGGCACTGTCTCCTCCCAGCGTACTCGGTAGCACATGACTGTGTCCTTGGGCCGAACAGTCTGGATGAAAAAGTGCAGGGGGCGCCCATCCGCTGTGCGAGAGCAGCCGATCAGGGCGCTGTCACCGCTGCAGGAGTCGAGGTCTAGCGTGCCTGAACGGAAGGCCAGGCGGAAGACCTGCTCACCCTTCTGGTTGCGTATGGAGAAGCCACCACTGTTGAGGTCCAGCAACTCGGCTCGCAGTCGTTCAGCCTTGCGTAGGGAGATACTGTAGTAGCACCAGGCCACGACTGCCGCCAGCACCAGCAACAGCCCCAGTACCGCCGAGAGCAACAGCGGCTTCAGCTCCTTGGATGGTTTGGACTTGACAGGCGAGAAGTTGTCCGGCAGGAAGGTGTACATCGCTGTCGCTGAGATGGCCCCCGGATTCTTATTGCCTGGGCGGCTTCCAGGGCGGCGGCGGGGGTAGACCTGGTTCTTCTCCTGAGGATTTTGGGGCATCAGCTCCCAATTAAGGAAGGAGTGGACACGCAGGGTCACCAGACAAAACCCATCTGAAACCTGGCCTGTCTGAGTCTGGAAGGGGAAGAGAGGTGGAACTGAGCTTTTTCATTCCATATTATTTCTATTTGCTGCAGCAAAAAGTGATTTGGGAAGGCGTACACTGGGACGTAACTCTGAACAGAATAGCTGTGCTTACTGATCCTTCCTAATGCTTATCCAAAAAGTCAGGACTCTGAATGGGGATGGGCAGATGGCATGCCCCATGTACCATCATTTTCCTAGTGGTGGTTCAAATCCAGACAGGGTCAGGGAGCTGTTGAGGATTACCAGAGGAAATCAGGCCTCCCTGGATAACACATGTGGGCAGCTGAGGCTGAAGTGAAGTGGAGGATTTGGAGTGGGGCTCGTTTCCCAGAGATGTGACCATGGTGGAGAAGGGGGGAGTATACTCTCAGCTCCTCAAGACTTTTAATAGGGAAGTAGGCTGACTTCCTTATCCCCAGAAGTGGACTAAGCAAAGAATTTAATCTTGACAGAAACAGATTAAATCTGGAGATTAAATACCTAAAGCCATATTCAGCCCTAGGGCCTGATTTGGAAGGAGGCAGGGTTGGGTTTAGATATTAGGGCTGGGGTGAGGAGCCAGCGTGGCTTCTCAGATCTCCCCCTCCTGCCCTCAGACTCTACCCTGATCTCAGCTATTGATCAATTCCATTTAGGGAAATGCCCACTTTGCTGCTCTGCTCCCAGTACCCGATATGAGGGCCTCCTAGCTTGGTTTCTCTCACTCATCCATGCCTCCTAGCTTGGTTTCTCTCACTCATCCATGCCTTGCTGCTCTTGTTTGGACATTGTCTCTTCGCCTCTGTATCATTGTAATACTTCCCCAATAGGTCTCTCTGCTCAGCTTTTTCTCTTATGCTTCTGCTTACAGTAACCACAGCAATCATGCTATAGCACTTACCAGACCACATCTCTCCCTAGCTGAGAGAACAGGTCATGACTCCTATGTTGAACTTTGTAAGTGAGGCTCAAGGCATGATGTGGTCTCATCTGGCTTTCTGATCATTTCCAGCCAAACCTATCCTGTGACTACCGTGCACATTCTTTTCCCCAACCTAATTCCTTCAGGCTACCAGTTATAGGAAATTTCACATGCCTACCTTGGACCAACATTCCTCTTCCCTACCTATAAATCAAACACTCTCTCCAACCCGCCCCCCCCCCACATCCATAACTGTAAGAAACACAGACATGGGAGGTGGTGTGTGTCCCAATCTGCTTAAAGCCACTGACCCTTCCTGTCCCTCCCTCAAGACAGAGTCCAACAAAGAAGTGGCACCAGTCAGATGCACACACAGACTTACACATTTGCCTGCCAGCTGGCTGCCCTCCTGCTTCATCTGGGGGAAGGAGAGAGGGAGACTGGGGAACAGTAATTAGCCTCCTCCTGGATGCCAGTATCAGCCTTTAAGCCCCCAGTAGCTTCCAAGGAGATGTCAGAACTCCTCAAGCTCTTTAATTTCCCCACCTCTTCCATGAGGAGATTATCAGGAATGCTAGGTGCAGATCAGAATTTTAAATACAGACATCAATATACAGCTCCCTCAGAGAGGTGCTATTTCTGGGCCCTATTCATTGTGCTCTCCCCCAGCCCCCACCTCCTTAAACCAGTCAGTTCCAGCCAGACTGGAACAGCTTCTTATTCCCTTATTCTTAACCCACAAAACTTAGCTTTAAGAATTTGCCCATCCAACCATGGACTCCTTGTCCTGTACGTAAAGGTTAGAAAAACATCCTGGAAATTCAGACAGTAGCCTTAGCTGATGCCCTCAAGCTAAGCAGAACCCAAAGAAGGTAACACAGGGCAGATCTGCTATATTCATAGTCATTCATTCTTTCACTCATACAGTTCTGAGCACGGAGGTAAAGGAAAAGGTCCACATCTGAATAAGATAGTGACAGCTTAATCTCAAAACTTTCATAGTAAGTCAGTCTCCCTCGTGACCCCTGGAGACATGGAGAAGCCACCAAGGTGACCTCAAAAATCCCTTTCCAACATTGAAGTACTGAGCACCTTAGTTTTAAAAGATTCTGAGCTATTTGATGAAGGGCAAAAGCTCACAGCCCTGGACGCCCAACCTACTTTTCTGACCCTTGGGACCATGCCCCCCATGCAGGCCTGTGGTGGTCTCCTAAATGCTACTACACATCCAACACTAACGATAATGCTAAACATTATGGCTCATGAGGAAAGTGCCAAGTAGAAAAATGAACTTGTCTGAAGTAATACAAGTAGCAAGTTTGCTTGAATCCAAAATTGCAGCTCAAATCTCCACAGCATAAGTTTTAGATGAGATATAATGGTCTGACCATCTGTCTGAATGTAGCAAAGGAATTGGAGTTTGGGGGGTAAACAATGAGACAAAGCTTCCATCCAGTGGGAGTCGGTATAGTGAGGCCCTTCTTCCCAAATGTTATTTGCTCTTGGAAAGCTTCTTGAGGGATTGGAAAGGGGCAGTTATAATGGTGTATATAGTAGGGAGCTGTAGGGGAGAACTGTGGTTGCAGTGTTAAGGCTGCCAGTAGAGCCCCCTGTAATCTGCCGCCTCCGTCATCTGGCCAACCACAGGCTAAACCCGGCAGGTGGGGTCTGCCCTAGCCAAGACTTCCCCACTAGACATTCAATCAGTCTTGGCTGCCAGCCTGTGTTGGGGGAGGGCCCGGCCCAACTGAAGGGAGGACTTTCCAAGCTAAGATGTTTGTCGAACACAAATTCCAGGGGAGTGGAAATGTCAAAGGCAACTCGATCCAGGCCATCTCCTGACCTGCTCCAGCGATGGGGTGGGGATGGGGAAGATCAAATGACTGCGTCTACAGTCTCATACTCTACACCTACCTCCGGCACCCAGTCCGACACCTAGCAATGTCCGAAGGGACAGGCGGAGGTTAAGGTCCGATCGCGCCTGGGAAGCGCGGCTCTAAGAGGAGCCCAGGTATCAGGCTTTCCCCACCCACTCGTCGGTATAGGCGAAAGTTTAGGAACTGCAACCCCCCAAGGTCCTCCCGCTGGGCTCACTCACGGCAGTGACCCCAGAAATGGGGGTGAAGGGAGGCTCCCGCTGATCCCTCCACGCTAGCGGGAGCTGAGCTGCCACAGAGTGGCGCCTTGCGCCGCGGAGCTAGAATCAGCTGAGGCCCTCCTCAGGCTCCGCCCTTCTGGCTGCCAGGCCACGCCCGGGTCCCTTGGTCTAGTCCTGGGCCTTGGAGTTCAGCTCCGCCCCTAGCAGCCGACCCCACCCCCCCGTAGTGTCCCGCGGACTTGAGGCCCCGCCCCTTATCTCCCGCCTTCCTTCTAAAGCTTTGAGCCCAATTCCTTGCTACTCAGACGAGTTCCACGAATGATGCCTCCGGGCTCTGCCCAGCCTGCAGGCCCGCCTCCGCAGGGCCATTGCTTGGCCGCGCCGGCGTGGCTGCCCGGGCCTCATGGGAAATGTAGTTTGGGAGGAAGAAGTAGTTGTAACTTGTCTGGGTTTCTGCATCCCCAGGCTAAATCTGGGATGCGTACTAGAAGAAGCGAGTCGTAGGGTAAAGGCTGGCCCTTCGGATTTCTTCTGCTTCATATTTGGACAGTTGGAGGCCATCCTCACATAACTCATTAACTAGTACTCTGTACAGGAAAACTTTTCCCCACATGGGTGAAGGTTAGTGGAATTCCTGGAGAAGCTCAGAGGCTGAATGCAGGATGGCTCCAATCGAGGATCCAAAGAGGGAAGCCTGTTCTGAAGAACCCAAGCAGTCGTTTCCCAACAGACAAGGCCAGCAATGTCCGAAGTCAGGCTTGGTATTTTGCAATGCTTCCCCCAAACCCCAGTCTCTAGACTGACAACCTTTAGAATGCTCTGCTTGGAGAAAAGGTGGTCATTGCTCACCATACTCCTGATCCTGGGAAGAGGAGGTTGCAAGAAACCTGAAGATCCCAGATATTCTAGAATATCCCACTCATTGTTCGAGGGACAGGGATATAGGTCTTTGTTTTATAATTTGAAATTTCTTCACCTTGAAATCATCCCTAATTAAGACCCCTTGGCCTTGGATGGGGAAAGATAAGTAAGGGTGTTTGAATAGGCTTCTTTGTGGAAGGTGATAGAGACTCTGGGAATGGAGATCAATAACTCAGTATATAAGAACAGAGGTCCAATTGCAGAATGGAGGATTCTAGATCCACGGAGATGTTGGGATGAGGGGACACCTAGAATGGGGGTTTCTGAAGAAATGGAGCTAGAAGACCTTCCTGAGGTAGGAGGTAAATGAGCCCTGAGGTAGAGGGGAAGACACCAGCTGAATACAGGGACACTGTTATGGAAGATACTCAAGACCACCTAAAGGAAGTCCTGAGATGATTAGGGTAGGGAGAGCTCAGGGCAGGATGACTTTTGAGAAACTGAATCTCAGTTGAGGGGCTTGGTAGAGGTCTGAGTGACTGGTTCCTTGCTGCCAGATCCTGCTGGGTAAGGACACAGCAGGTAAGGCAGCCTTAGGGGTGAAGTTTATTGCTCAGCCCCCTTGGCCCCGCCAGCCTGGGCTCTAACAGCAGTGGTAATCAGGATAGGTCTCAGACACAAACTCAGGGTGGACGACATAGTTGTTTCTCTGGGGGCCACCGGTCTTCTTGAAATGACTTGTGTCCCATCTGTGGGGAGAGATAGATCAGCCTTTTTGGACTCTCATACATCTGGTTCCAGTTTTCAGTGATAATCTTACCCCATTTTGCCCCTACTACTAGCCCTAGGCTTCCAACACTGACCTCAAATTCTGCTGTTAAACTTTTCATTCCCAATACTAACTGCCTAACATTAACTTCTTAAACTTTACTTCAGGGCCTGAATCTCACGCCCTGCTATCATGACTTTAACCCCCAATGCCTACCTTTAGCACCTCAATGCTGGGTCCACCATTTCCTTCCAGCTTTGATTTCCCCATGGCACTAGTGCCCCCTGGTGTCACCTTCCGGTCAGTGCACCACAGGGAACATTTCCAACCTGGCCTGTGCCTACCATCACCTCGGCATCAAGAGAACAGCCTCCAAGGGTAGATGTGCACCAAACTTACCTAAGGTTCGGACATGGGTAGTATGATGGCGGGGGAGTTATTACAGCACACTGCATTCCGGGCCGGTGCTTGCAGGGTGATACACTGCTGGAAGAGGAAATGATGGCCAGGGAGGGGTTGGAACTTCAGATTGCTCCTTACTCCCCTACCCAGGCCAACACTAGGGGTAGCACTCAGGTGTCAGTCCGGTGATTCAGAGAACCTCTCATGCCTCCCAGCCCTGCCTCTGGGAATAAGCCAGAAAGTCCTCCTTCCCACACTTGGAAGTCCTTCTCGCCTTAAAGCCTTGTTTGGTTCTCCCAGACAGGGCCATGGAACAGACTGGAGGATCAGCTTTCCCTCATCCAGGACCTGGGGGCCCCCAGGTCCTTGCCATGAGACAGAAATTACAACAGAATTATCACCGTTTCTGAAGCTCAGGCAATTTCTCTTTCACCCATACCCTTGTGATCAATATAACTTAGTCTCCCACAATGAATACTGTTCTCTTGGCCTGGGGGAGGGGCAGTCAACATGGTGTATCCCCCAACATGAATGCACAGATCTTTGGACTGATATGGGTGTTGGGGTTCTTTCTCCTAGGCTCAAGAGAATCTGTGCTGTAGTCCAGGCTGTGACTGTCCACCATCTCCTGGCTGTCTACCTTTGCAAGTGATCTGGGGCTCTAAATAGACAGGGACCCCTCTGGTAATTTGGTGACTTTCCTTGCTTACTTAACAAGGGCCTGAAAATGACCCTGCCCATTACAGATGGTGACCCAAGGCCAGAAAGGCACTCCTTAGGTTAGGATCTGCAATCTGCTAACCAGGTAAGGGGTGTAGCACATGGCCTCTGGAAAGGGGAGCCACCAGTGTTGGGTTTCTTCCTCAACCTCTCCCTCGCCCCTCTGCGGCAAAACCTTTAGAAGATACTGAAGCCAGGGTGATTTTGCTCCCAGTTCTGGAGGGACAGTGTCGGGAACATGAGGGGATCTTTGCAGTTTCTCCCACCTCAGACGCGGTAGTTACCCTGAGGGGAGGGGACAGGGGCGGGGCCAGGTGGGGAAACTTCAGGGGTCAGACAGGTCTGGGGCCTAGGGGCGGGGCCTAACTAAAAGTGAGGGTGTGTAGAGCTCTTGGCTGGGGTAAGGTGGAACTCTGGGGACGCGGCCCCGCGAACCTTACAGTCGGCTGTGAGCACAAGGCCCGCTGGCGGCGTTCGGTGCAGGGTGCCCCGGTGACACAGTAGTCCATCCCGCGCAGACAGTAGTGGCGGCCAGAGCAAGGGCTTTCATAACCTTGGAAGGGCAGGCGGCCCTGCAGGGGGTCCAGGCAGCCGCAGCGGGATGTGATCTGCGGCAGCTGCTGGTGTCTTGACAGCGAGTTCAGCATGTTCACCACCACGTCGCGCTCTGCACCCACAGACCCCCGAGCCAGGGAGACCCAGAATCACAGGAATGGGAAGAGGCAGGGTCAGAGGAAGAAAGACAAAAACAGGGTTAGATAGAGATAGGGTTACCTTCTTTTTAGGGTCCTCGGCCTCAGCCCCATTCTCCAGGTTCCCAGCCCGCTATCCTACTGGTCTACCCATTCTCTCCACTACACCACCATCAATTACCGTAAGCATTGAGTCGCTCGGGTTTAGGAGGACACTCCAAGGGCATTCCCCGAACTGCTGTCTCCATTCCAGCCTCCTGGAAGTGGCACACAGGCTAAGTCAAGCTCTGATACGGAAGAGTTACTTCTTTAGCGGATCCTCTTAGAGGACCCAAGCTGGCCCTGTGCAGTACCGTTTCCCGCCCTCCAGAGGCTCCTCTGTCTCCTCTCCCAAGCTCGGGTGTTTGGTTTTTGTAACCTGGCAACAGTTCTACTCCGCCTACCAGAGGGAAGGGAAAAAGGAAGTGGACCAGGTCTGGCTGGACGCAGGCCTCTTCACAACCCCACAAGATCTCAGCGTTTCCCTTTGATTTTGCCCCTCCTCTTTATCAAGCCGGCTCTGTGTAGCTGTGTCTCCTATTTCTCTACTAAGGAATTTTTTCAATATTGCCTGCCCATAGGAAGTTACCTGGGGAACTTGTGAAAAATTCTTATTCTTGAGGAAATTCTGATGCAACAGTTCAGTCAACCCGAGGTCAACCATCAACCTAGAGTTAAGACCCAGCTCTGATTTCAGATCTTCTCACATTTTCTCTTCCTTCCTACAGCTGGGGCTGCACCAAACTTTTCTATCTTTATGTAAGGATTTCTCTCTAAGAATTTCCTCTATCTGGACTGCCCCTGGTCGCCTTGCTCTCCCCTATGTTGTCCTTGCTTACATCACAAAGGAGGGGATGGTTGCTTGCTCAGCTATCATTCACTGACTCCTTGATAAACTTCAGGAAGGTAGTTGGGCAAGGAATACACATTAGCTATGTCTGCATAGGGCCAGGGCAGAGATTGGGACTCAGGGGACTTAGGGACCCAGCACAGTTCCATTTCTGGACTCCCTTATCTCCTAGAAAATACAAACCCTAAAAAAAAAAAAAAAAAAAATACAAACCCTAGACTTACAGAGCTCTGGAGTTGGTGAGAAAGGGATAGTGAATAGCTCTCACTATGATCTGAGAGGCAGAGGGAGGAATACTGCAGGTATAGTGGCTACCTTAGGCAGCCGGGGGAGGCATGTGGTGTATTTGCTGTTCCAGCCGTTGCAGTAGTAAGGTCCCGTTCTCCATGTGTTATACTGGTCACTGCACAGGTAGTTTGGGTTGCATCTGTCTGCTTGATCATAGGGGTGGAGATGAAGACAGTGTTTACTCCTTACTCTACCCAGGATATGTGACCATCTAGATTTTTCTTCCTTGGTGCCCAGCACAAATGTCTCCCACTAATGTCTTGCAGACCAGTCAAGCCCAGGCTGGCCCATTTCCCACCTTCAATAAGCAACTGGGTGGGGTCTGCATCTTTTGAAAAGTTCACTTTTTATCCTAGCACCACCACCTTGGAATCTGCCAACTTGGAAATGGGGCTTTTGCCCAAGTCCTCCCTCTTGTCTTCCATATCTAGGCTCCAAAGTGTGCTTATTCTGCTGCCTTAACATCTATTGAATCTATTCTCCTTTCCAGTATCCCATACTCTTTCCACTATAGCTCTGAAATATCTTATCCAGGAGACAACATAATGTCATGATTAACAGAATAAACTCTAATTAGCTTTGTGTAATCTTGACTGTTAGGTTAAATAATTTCATTGCATGTCAGTTTCCTCAATTTTAAAATGAGTGTAATAATACAATCTACCTCATAGGGATGTTGTGAGATTTCAGTAAGTTAATAAATGCCAAACACTTAGAACAATACCTGATCCTGATATATATATGATGTCAGGTGTGTGTGTATGTGATATATATGTGTATGTGGTGGGGGTATGTGTCCCACCTTTGAAATCTCACAATCTGATCTCTACATAGAAATTGTAGTACTTTTTCGCAAATGAAAATATGACCAAAAATATTTCCCTGTTAAACCCTTTCAAAGCTTCATCTACACAGTCACCTAAGTTTGTCCTACTAGGCCCTCCATGATCCACTCCCTCACAATCTGAAAGAATAGATAAGAGATGTTAGAAAAGGAAGCCTAGGGCCCCCCAGGGAAGAGCAGGGGTATGTTTGTGTGGAGTAGGATATTGGGATTTGCGAGTTATGGGTTGGTTGGTTGGATATACAAAATTTAAGGTTTTTGGGAATATTCAGGTAAAGATGACTATTATCAGATGAGAGAGAGAAGAATTCTAATGAGAGGTGGAGGTAAGAGTTAAAAGATTTGGACTTGTCAGTAATTAAAGATATGAATTAGATAAAATTGTCTCAGGAGAGGAGTCAGGAGAGAAGAGGTCTCAGTTTAGCACCCTTTGGAACTCTGTTTCCAGAGTGAATGGACAAGAGACCCAGGAAACAGAGGCATCATAGAAGTGGAGGAAGGAAGGCATTCAGGAGGTAGAGAGTGGTCAGAGAGTAAAATGTAAAAGACTGAAGAGTCCTGTGGATTTGATTATTAGAACCACACAGAGCCATTTTAGTGTTTGAATATAGAAGATGCAGGTCACCAGTTTCAATTGAATACAGGTATATTTTATCACTAATTCATTCAACAAACACTAGGAGTTCTGTCACTGTCCCAGATTGGAGGTGCACAGCTGTGAATCAAACAAGACTGCTTTTATAGCAAATACAGGGGAACAGATCAGATACTCCTAACCATATGAGAAGACAATTTCTCTGAAGTATAAGGAAGGTGAGAAAGTAGAGACAGTGAGTATAGACTGTGTTTCCAAGAATTTTGACTGTGAAGGAGAGGAACAGGAGAGAGCTTTTAGACTGAAGAGATTGGAAAAATCTTCCAATCTCAACCAATGAGGTGTGGTGAGGCAGAAGGATGCAGGAGAGGTAGAGGATCAGGATCAGGGTAGAGGTCAGTAACCAAGTAGGGTTCAGCTGGAGGGTTGTTGCTGGGGATTACTGAAAGGGACCAGAGCTGGTTGAGTGGGAAGGTCCTACCTTCCTGCTGAGAGAGCCAGTACTTCTCCGGTAGATATGGGTGGCCTGGCACAGAACCTTTATAGCTATAGTCCTGCACAGCACATTTGACCATCTTCTGCAGGGCTTCAGGGTCCACGTGGCGCTGCATGGTCTGAGAAAGTCCCTGGGCAAGAAAAGATGGGGAAAATGCATAGAGACCCCAGCCTCGGGGTCCTACTGGACCAAGATCTAGCTCCAATTGAGAAGGTGGCTCCCCAAACCACCCCTCTCTGTGCCAGGACTCTTTGGACAGTCTTGTTCCCCACTGCAGTCCTTTTGTTTGAATCATCCTCTTTTCATTTCTTTCCATCCAAGGCTGGGGCTTGGAGCCAGGCATTTGCTCTCAGTCAGAGTAGTTTTCTGTTTTTATCTTGATTGGGAGTTCTAAGAGCAGAGCTAAGTGCTATGTACAGAGTTGGGTGTTCCAGTTCTTTTTCTCCCATATTGTGTGCTGCCAGAGAGCAGGTCCTGGGTCTCCCCCAACAGACCACTTGTACAATCTGGAGCCTCAGGAGAGGCTGGCTGCCCTGACAGCAGCTACGCTATATAGATGTTTTTGGACAGGGAGGGTTTTCTGGAAATCTGACACCTTGAAGGAGAAGAAGGATAAGGCTGGCAGGGGCAACTACTTCATAAGATCTAGTTCCCTGTCTCAAACTTGCCTCTGATTCTGCTGTGGTTCTGATCTTGATGCCAATATTACCCTAGGCCCTCAGGCTAATTTTGCCTTGGTCCTCATGCTACGCTAACTTATTTTGGATCATGGTTTAAGTCCTGGAACCCTCTGCTTCTTGGGTTTTACCTCACTTATCCTTCACCCTTTGTTGGGCTTGGGCTATGTAATCCCAAAGCAAGGTCTCCTTGTGGGTCCTCTTGTCCTCAGCTGAGCAGAATGCCAAATTACTGTGGACCCACAGATGTCTGCACACAGCTGATGTGAACAGACGGCTAGGTCACAGAGGTGGGCCACCCAGCAAAGTCAGTCACCAGAAAGGACTTCCTCATAGTGGGCATTGAGGTACTGGGATGGGATGATGACACTGCACCCCCAGTTTTCCTCTTTATGATCCAAAGAGCAGAAACTTTTCTTGATCAGGGTTAATATCTTGCTGCTCCTAGTGTCTTTGCAGCTCTGAAAATACCTCAGCTGAGGGAGTCTTTGGGTTTCCTATGCCCAGCTGAGTTTCTGTTCTGTGGACAGATTCTGCACAATCATCCTGTCTTTGAAGGGAGGGGACCCACTTGGCATTTTGCTGTGCTTTAGATATACATAGACATACTCAGATCTGAGCACCCAGATATACTCTCTCTTTCTTTCTGTCACACACACACACACACACACACACCACAGATGCACTTTTTAATCATACACATATACACAGAGATACAAAATAATCATTTACAATGCACAGACATTAACTTTTCCTCAGCCATCTGAAATCTTAGCTCATGTTTATCAATGGGAGTAAAAGAGCTCATTGGAGGTTCTTATTTGAAGGTGGTTTTGTGAAACATGAATATCACTGTCAGATGATTTGACTAGATTACTTTTTTTTCAAACTGCCAACATCTTTCCTCTTGAACTGATCAGATCCTTCAGAAGGCACTACTTCAGTCTTCAACCTGCTACTAGTGATACAACAGCAAGTGTTCTGAGAACTTAATGGGGAAGAGAGCTGCTGGATTTCAGAAAACAGCACTTCACCTGTTTTCAGTATGGTGCCATGTCTTCAACTAGGCATGGTATCTCCAGTCCTGAGATCCTTGCCAAAAATAAGCCCAACTTTTGCAGAGATGTGGTAGGCTGTCACTGTTTGGTTTGAAATAGGAGGTTAGTGCGTTTAAATGCTCCATAAATAGCTTTCAAATCATTCTGATATTAGCTTTGGTCCTGTCCTATCTTCAGTTCCAGAGAAGTCTAGTATTACAAATTCCTGAGCCTTCTAAATTTTCTGTAGTTTTAAGTTGAATAATGGCTTACATTTTCCACTGCTGGGTTTGGATGCTGCTTTCTTAGATCTGCTGTCACTTACTATTTAACTATCATACTGTCTTGCTGCTAGAATTTTGTTGGCATTGTCCCTATTAGTCCTGAGAACTTATGTCTTAAACATATACTTATTGTCACTTTATTGAACATGTATTCAATTTTAACCCAGCAAAATACAGTTCTTTATCTATTTATATACTACTCCTTTGTCAATTGCATGTTGCAAATATCTTCTTTCAGTTTGTGGCTTGTGCTTTCATTTTCTCTATGGTGTCTTTTTGATGATCAGAACTTTTTTTTTTTAAGATTTGTTTATGTTATGCATACAAGAACTGCAGTACAGGCTGAATTGTAGGGTTGGGGGATGGTGGTGAGAAGATTCACCAGAGACAGAATGGGGAACAGAACAGGCAGATGAACTGCTGGGCGAGACAGGTATGCTGCACCATGTGGGTCACCTCGCTGGCCAGGGATTGAACTTGTGCTGCAGTGGCTGTGCTGTGCTTTAACTCCTTGCACCACCAGGGAGGCTATGTTAATTTTAACATAGATGAATTTATTAATCTCTCTTTTATGTAGTATTTTTGTGTCTGGTACAGGAAGTCCATCCATACCTTCGGATAATAGAGATACTGTCCTATATTTTCTTCTAAAAAATTCTGCAGAGTTTTATTTTCCATATCTAAATCTTCAATCTGTAAGGAATTGCTTTTGGGGTTTGATGTGAGTTAGGAAGCAACTTTGTTTTAATCCATATGGATAATCAATTATTCCATTGAATAGTTTGTCTGTCCCCACAGATTTGTAATATCATCCTAGGCCTGATGTATCTTTTTCCATAGCTTTAGTTTTAATCATCTCTGTTGTGTATTGTTTTCATATATATGTGATTCCATTTCTGATCCATTTTATTACATTATTCTGTTTTTCTATCACTACAGTAATACAGATTTTCTGAATTTCTATAGCTTTGTAATAAATATTAATATCTGATAGGGAAATCCCCTTATCCTTCAGGTACATTTTAACTATTTCTTGGAGCTCTTTTCTTCTCTATAAGTTTTAGAAACATCTTTTTAAGTTCTTTAAAATATCCTGTTGAGATTTTAATCAGAACTGCACTGAATCTGCTTGTGACACTTCCTACCCATGAGCAAATTATAAATTTTCATTTAATTAAATATATATTTTAAGTATTCAAAGTTTCATAGTACTTGTGAAGTACAGCACATAGTATACAGTACTTAGTTTTGCATAGTACTTAGTTTATTTCTACTTGTTTATTGTTGCTAGATGATAGGTATATTTTAAATTATGCTTTTAAAATATTTGTTGCTGATGTAAAGAAATGTGGTTGGCTTTTATCTTATATTCAACTTTCTATGTTCTCTTTTTCTAACAATTTGTGATTCTATATATACAACTGTGCCATCTGTGAATGAAGTTTTTAAAATTCCTTTCCCACTCTCGTTTGTTTCATCTTTTCTCTGTTCTGAATAAGACCTCCAGTACAATGCTGAATAGAAATAATCATGTGTAGAGCCTTCCTGGTGGCCTGAGGGGTTGCGTCTCAGCACTATGAAGCTATCCATAGCCACTGCAGTCAGTCCCCAACCAGGAAGGTGACCCACATAAGTGCAGACCTCTCTGTCTGGGCTGTTGCTCCCCTCAGCAGTGTAGTTCAGTAGGTCTGCCTGCTCTGCTCCTGACTTTGTCTCTGGAGAGTCCTTTCACCTCCCCTTCCCACATCTTTGGCCTGCACCCCAGCCCTTGTATGGATGAGAAAAGTTTTTTGCTTAAATCACGTGTATTAAAAATATGCCCCCAACACTTAGTAATCAGAATGATGTTGACTGTATTCTTTGGTTTACATTCCTTTATAAAGTTAAAGAAGTTTTCTGGTTTATGTTTGCTAAGTTTTTCTTTTTGTTTTTTTTTTAAAGATTTATTTATTTGTGCATACAGAACTGGGGTACAGGCCAGTGGCTCAGGGGCGGTGAGAGGCTTCACCAGAGACAGAATGGGGAGTAGAACAGGCAGATCTACGAAGTACACTGCTGAGTGGAGCA